GTCGTTATGGAGACATTGCCTGAAATAATAGCAAATCATTTGAGAATAAGACGTGAAATACAAAACAAAACCCAACTATACCTCTGATGTGAGGAGAGGACGCGGATTCGGCCAACAGTTTGATGTTATCACTGGTGCCACACGTGGTCTCGCAGAACAGATCAAACTCCTGTGCACTGAGTTGCGAGGCCTCCACTAAAATGGTTTCCATGATATGCATCAACTGTTCCAAAGAGGAGGGAAATCCCGGCGCCGAGGGCTGTGATATGAGTTCTGTCGCGTCGGATGTTATGATCAGTTTCAACAGATTCAGCATAACTCCAATGGTGTTGAGCGAGGGGTCGATCAGCGCCTGTCGATTGTTCTTAACACGAATGCAGTGACCGAACAATTTGAGCAAAACCTGCATTAATAGACGACTTCGAGGCGAGAGATCTTCGATCACTTTGAGCCTCTGGAGCATCACTTGGAGGCCATCGCACTGCGACATAATGTTCGCCATTTTGTACAGTTCCTCGTCATTCACTTCTTTATTATCTTTAGTGTCGAGCGTTTCGATGAATTCTTCGGTCGCGTCGCCCATAAGGCCGCGAATTCGGTAAACAATTTTCATGGCGTCTGAATCGATATTATTGTCGTTTTGCCAGATCTTACGGTAAACCTCTTTGACAGAGAGATCCAAACTAATGATCTTATTATTGACCAAAAGCTCGAGTCCGGAGTCGTCTTCGAGGAGCGCCACTAACTCGCAGTCCTGACAGATCTTATTCTTGATGTCTCGCATTAGTGGACCCATTCCCGTGTCGTTAGAACTGTAAGGGTTTCCTAACATTCGGCCCTATTTTATAAAAGGCATTAGTTTTTATGGCATCGACGAGGAGAGGGGACACTTAGTCGAGTGACTGGACATACCTGTAGGAAGTCGTCCTGTTGGGGATCCTTCTCCAGAGTGATGAAGAACTCGATGGAGTCGTTCTCTTCGGGATATATTATAGAGCAAAGCCTTTCGAATATAAACACCGGAGTAATCATGTCATGCAATTGGCATTTGTTGACCGCATCCACACAGACAGACATAAAGGCAGCCGTTTCCGACTCGGTTCCAGATGTCATCTCTTCGAGCAATTCCAACAGTGATTCCTGTGTTTCATCGATCACTTTAGTCCTCTGAACGACAAGTTTTCTCAGCGCTAAGTATCCGTTCAGAACGAAGGCAACCATTCGTGACTTGTATTGACGCCGAATAGTGGACACGTCTATCAGTGACTGCAATAACTCGACCAACATTTTCAGAGCACAGCCCTGCGAGAGGTCTGAGTTGAGTGTCATCTCTTCCAATTGGTTCAGATTATCGATCTCTTTGGTGATGAGAAGACCCAAATGCTGGAGCAGTCCGTGAAGAGCTAAGTAGTACTTCCAGTGCTCTGTTTGGATGATTGTGTGATAGAAAGTGAAGAACTCGTTGGCGAACTCTCCGGCCCGACCCAAGTCATCCAGATATGAGGTCAACAAATCAATTATCTCTCGTTTGCGCGAAGGAATTTGGAAGAGAGCCTCGATTAGGGAACAGGCCATCAGTCGCACCGAACGCGACGCACCGTTGAATAGTATGGCCCGAAGCCAACTCGCCCTCACCAGACCGGCCACCAGTTTGTCACTCTTCAGCGCCTTCTCTTTCCAACGCATTCCATACTTTTCGGACAAATACTGCATTCGGATCTCAGTTCGAGATTTCGGTTCGTTTGGAATATCATTGGAGAGCTGAGGCGTCGGCGACCTCTTCGCGGACCTCTGTTTCCAACTTCTGAACGAATGCCTCTGATCTCCGGCCAACCATTTATTCAAATCGACATTCACTTGAAACCCGTTGGTCTTGACAGTAGCCAACTGTTCAATTGTTTTGTCTTTGTTTTTCTTACTGATCGTCGGCTCGGGTTTTATAAGCGATTGAAGTAACCGAAGACATGGAAGTGTTATGGAGTCGAGTACTGCCGGCGAATCGATTTGCAGACCCATTAGGAATAATTGCATAACACACCTGAGTCGGAGTTCCCAACACGAGTCCTCCTTTTCCATAGAACAGGCGAGTAATGCGATCTCATGTCTCACCGATGAGGACAAGTCAATGGAGGCGCCGGATCTCGACTTCAACGCCACGGATATCTTATCCATAAGCAGATTGTTTAGGTCTGCGGTCGCCCTATAGTTGTCGCGACTCAATGAACACAACAGTTGCCGCACTTCGTGGCGAACATTCATTGATCCGATTCTGAGGTTGTAATCAACTAATTCCCGGAGCAGTCCGTATGAGCACAGGAGTGACCGGTATTTGGGAGCGATAGCCAGTGCCTAACAATTTACACAACGTTTTAGTTTTCAATAAATTTGATTCCCAATCAGTATTACCTTCAAGAGAGTGATGCAGTGCTCGACTGTGGCCGACGCGCACCCGAAGCAACGGCCCGATGACGAGGCCATCGATGTGGTCAACACTTTCGAGTCGCGTCTGGACGCGAGTCTTGGCGTAACGTTAGAGGGCGTCGCCGTCTTGTCCTTCTGTTTGTTGTCGTAATCGACTAACTCTTTACGAGAGGCCAACACTTTTTGAATGATTTTCGACAACTCGTCGAACGAAGACTTGCAGTCCTGACAGTACTTGAGGGCCACCTGTTGTATGGAGCGATTCACGTGAAGGCTAGAGGCGCCGGCGGGTCCAGCACCGGCATTTGGCGCCAACATAAGCATAGCGTCGGTGTCGTACTTATCCATCATTCCGTGCTCTTGGATACGCAACAGCAGCAGCTCTAACGACGGCTTGTTTGCGATTAAGCTCTTGTAGACCCGATCGGCCTTTTCTAACAACGAGTTAATGCTCTGAACCGTCTTTTTACGGTCCTCCTCGTTCTCAATGGGGTCCACAGCACAGGTAGGTTTGGCGGTCAGAGTGTAGTCAAACTTTGCGTATTTGCAGAATCCGCACGAATTGCAGAGGAAGGGATCCTTCTCATCGTAATTAATAGCTCGGC